AGAAGCTTCGTTTCACGTTCGGAACTGACTTTGACTCTATTCGAGAGAAGAAGCACGCGACACGATCGATGCACTTGACTTGAAACGATTCGAGAAACACACTGTGTTGTTTATATCGCACACCTGAACACCTGACACTCCTCCTTATCCGACTGACAACAAGCGACACGTCGTCCGTCTGATCAGTACCAAACACACGCGACGCCACGGAGCGTACCGAGGCAGACTCGTGGCGTCGAAGATTGCTCGGAGAATGATAACGAAATGTCAGATTTACGCACACTCCCTCTCTCGAGCGAAAGAGAGACGTTCTCCTACGCACGCACCAGAAGGGACTGCCGCTCCGGCGTGTTCCGAGATCGAGCCACTCTGTCATGCGCAGCTAAGCGCCGATTGGCCGAGGCGTGGTTCGTCTGACAGCTCCTCGAGCCTCCTGTTCATTGGCTGTTGGGCATGGCTACGACCACCATCCCGTCCTCTCATTGGTCGAACCACCTATGGTAATAAATAAGCCTCATTACACCCCCGACTTCTGTTTCCTTCTTCCTTCAATGCGAACGTAGTCGAAGGGACACGCAAGTAAATCGGACGAATCCAGCCCGAAACGAACGTGTTTCTTTCGCGTTGCTCGTTAAGTTCTTCGATTGGCCAGGTATTTAATTGCCTTCGAACGTCTCGCGCGCGCGACGACACGCAGGCTCGCGTTTCGGTAAAAATCACCCACCTGTATTTGGCGAACTTCACGCAAGACGTCGTTGTGATACCGCCGCAATTTTGAAGTCGATCAGGTTGAACCTCTTCTCCGCTTGACCACTTTGAACAGATCCAGCCGTATGTTATGGTTAATGGGAAAATATCGATCCGACGTTGAGAGCCCCGGACGACACGAATGTTTATGCTGGGAGAAAGAGATTCTACTTTTATTGTGTTTTCAGTTTCATTTGATCTATGCTCGCGTCGAAGGCTGTGAAAACTTCTTAACCTATAAGATGAACATGTCATAATAAAGAATGTCACGATAAATGTTATCTCATTTTCTGTATTTTTTTGTATTTGATCATAAGTTATGAAATTATTATTATTAATTATAATCAGTAATTTACAATTTCATTATTGACACTAGGGATACAAGAAAAATACCTACGACACTTCCCGTTTGGCTCGTGTTTTGATAGAGTGCCGACGATATTTTTCTTTTCTTAATAACCATCGAAAGTGATCGTAATTCACGAAAATGACGAAAGAAGAACGAGAAGGGTCCTCTCGACGGCAACACGTGCGAAGCTTTGAGAAACGTCCCACGTCAATCAGGAAAGATAGAAAACCAGTCTGTGCAAAACAAGCCGCATTCTCGTTTCGTTCGGATACGTTGAAAAATCTGGTTGGCAGACATTATTTTAGGGAGCAAAACCTTGTTTTTACAAAAGTCCTTGCGGTCTGAGAAAACAAGATGTCTTTTGTGCCCACGTCACACAATCTTTCTCAAAGTCGTGTATCTCCGTACAGTTAAAAATTTTTCAAACAATTATGAAATATTTTATATGATTTTATATATATATATATATATATATATATATATATATATATATAATGCTTGTTAACGTGTCAAGTCTTCTGTAAACTGTATATTAAAAAGAAGCAAGAAATACCTATATGTATAAAATAAAAATTGTGAAAGATAGATATCAAAATTATAGGGAAAGAACAATTATATGAATAGAGAAGAACGTATTAGGTCAATTCAGAGGTATAATTGTTCAATAAAAAAGTTTTTCCCCTGTAGTCTTCATGCTGGTGTAAAATGTTTTAAACATTTTATCTTCATTAAAGCGAAACATTTGTTCTCAATTAACGTATTTAATTCGTTTTTTCATTTTTTACTTTATTTACGGTAAATATTTATATTTCAGTTGGTCGACGGCGTCAATTCGAGATCGTATTAATGTCAGTATTACTTGCAGAGAGAGAGAGAGAGAAAGAGGTAGAGAAAGAGAGAAAATCACACGTTTCACTTTGATAATGAAACGCGTCAATGTAGAGGAAATGTAAAAATGTTCTCGTTGATAATTATCAAATTGCGCGAAAATTTGTGAGGTTATGTAAACTGTGGTGTGACATCAAATGGACCGGTCAAAGCTTTTTATTCTTACCGGGAATGTATAGTGTTATTTCTATGATGGGACACGTTATACAAACACCGACGACGGTAAAGTATTGCGTCTCGATTTGTATGCTATGTGAATGGTAAACAATTATTAACATCAACGTCTTTGCCACGAATAGATTCCATATAGGTGGAGAATCGATTTATGGCAGTTGCATGTTTACGAACACCACCGTGCGAAGAATAGAAAATGGTGTTGATAACAGAAATTATAATGTTCGTGTCAATCATTTAACATAAATGTTGTTCCTTCTCAATTTGTCCATTTCTCGGAAAACTAATTGATATTTAAATCTTTTAATTAGCTAAATTTTTGTTATAAATAAATAAATGAATGAATGAACGTCGAGATTGAGTGAGATTGAAGATCCTGATCCGGATCTCGAAAATGATCCCAACGAAATTGACATATTTCCAATGTTGTATATGCGGTTCTCTCCGACGGGGTGCCACCCGTGGCGTCACCATTCATCCTGGACGTACGGTCGAAGCGGTTTGTGGTTCAGGAAGAAGTCGTTGACATCATAATGTGACGTCTAGATGCTTACGGCTCTCCTCGCCCCCTTTAAGCAACCGTGAAATCAACCGTTCGATCTTTTCGATGACAACTTGTTCGAAAATATCCGCGCGTATGCACAGGCCGTGCGTATGAATGATTTCTGTGTCACGTGCCTGTTTCATCGCGTTTATTTTCGTTCATTGTCTGATTATCTACTTTGCTATCTTTCGTTTTCATTTCATAGACGTAGGAAATAGAATTTGTCCGAACGATTCGAAAAATATATCGACTACAAATAAAATCCCTACGTTTTCATCTCAATCAACAAATCAACAACCATCTATCGTCAAATCAAACAAATCAGAAGATACGCGCGTGAGTCTACTGTAGTAAACACGTATGTATTTTCGATGTCTCGCGAGACGAGCCGGAAGTGGAAGAGGAACAGGGAGTACAAAAGACTGCGTCGCATTGACATCGATTCTCTTTGTCGACGAAGGCAAGGAGGCACGGAGACACGTCAAGCTACAGCAAAAAGAGAGAGAGAGAGAGAGAGAGAGAAGAGAGAAACGGGAGCATGAAACGCGAAGGAAGGACGACGTGGTTGCGCAACAATGCGAAAACGCAAGAGAGCATCCAACGAAAAGCTCGTATCACGTTCCCATAAGTGGCAGAGCGCGAGGATCCCTGCAGAGACGTCCTCACGCTTTCTACCTTTTTCTTCCTTCTCTTTCTCCCCCTTTCTGTTTCCCCTGTCTACCCTCTTTCTTTTCTTTTAGACGGCAGCAACGTTCGCACGTGTATACGTAGAACATAAAAAGGGGACGTAGAGAGGCGCCAGGTATATACGCCACGTATGAAAAATTCCATGCTGACGGCACCCTGGGCATCCCGCGGCGAGACCTGAATAACCCATAATTGCTACCCCTCCATTCACGTGCACGCCTCTGTCGGTTCGTTGTCATTCGTCGTACAAAGACGTCTCGTAACTGGCCGCGACACTCGATTCACTCGGCACGAAGACTTTGCCCCGGAACGGTTTTCACCTGAGGATTGTTTGAACCGCGACTATCATCAGGCCCTCGTCGATTGGGTAACTCGGCGTATTGTAGTAAACTCTAGAGCGTTACTGGACGACAGAGCGCGCTGGAACATTCGTGTGAAGCTCGTTCGAGAAGATAGCTCTTACGTGTATTAAATTCTCAGATGACGAGAACGATCCGCGGTAATTCCCTCGTTACCTTTGTAAAATGAAATTCTAAATAGAAGGTTGATTAACAGCCCACGAATTTTGCAAAAGATATTATCGATAACATATTCAGTATACACATATTACAATTGATATTTCTGAAATGTTCGAGAGAGAATTCTTGAAATCAGATTGCTTTCTATTCGTTCTAAATCAAGCAACGTTCTTCGTATATTACATGCCTCCAATTAATTCTATTTTTACGTACACAATATATATATATATATATATATATATATATATATATCTGTTTTTGTATATTCCAATTTCAATTTTTCACTTTTTTTCTCTTTTTTCTTTTTCCAAAGACACGCCATTCTGAAACAACGTACAAATAGGGATAAAATGAATTTGAAAAATATATGTCGCAGCGAGATCAAGAATTTTTCAATGTTAATAACTCGTGAACCACGAAAGGGACCAGTTTGGTCCCTCTTCTGGTCCGTTATCTTGATTATCTATTAAAGGGTAATTATCTATTATAGATATTCCTTCCACATCTCCTTCGTCGAATGACCAAAAGTTCCTGATGAGGCCTGGAGGATCCGTTTCTCTATTGATTTCGTCAGAATTGCTGCTTCGTACGACGGAATACAATCGATCGGGCGAAAGGTTTAGCAAATTGCTGGCTTGTTTCGTACACGTGTCCGATACATCGTTCATGAAGCTTTGCAATGGAAGGTTAATGGACGCGAACTTTGCCTTTTTGTCCTTCAGCTGTTGTTTGCAAGGACTGATGACACGCTCTAGACCAGTCACAGCCGAAACCTTTTTCTCTTTTCCCTTGTTTCTACTCTTGATATGCTTCTTGCAGTCCTCCACCTCTTTTCGTTCACGTTCTATCTTGTCTTCCAACGATTCGGATGAATCTTCTGGCGATAATGCCATCTTTCTCTCTGCAGTAACGAAACTATCATTATCACTAAAGTTTTTCGTATACGAGAAGGCTATTTTTATTCGAATAAAGTGCTGGGAAATCTCTGTACAATATTTGCACTTTGGTACGAATTCTACATTAAAAGCTTCTTCGCTACGCAGAAGAAGTTCATACGTTCAAGGGATAATCTTGTTATCGTTGTGACGTTGCATGTTTACATAAATTATATTTAAATAAAAAATAAATTATTTAAATAAATATTTAAATTTAAATAAATTATTTGTTATTTAAATTTAAATTTAATAAATATTTAAATTTAAATAAATTATAAATTATTTAAATAAATATTTTAATTATATTTAAATAAAAAATAAATTATTTAAATAAAAATGACCTCCCTGTGAGATTCGCGGGAACTTCTAATAATCGACTGAAGGAATAATATATAAAATATCGTATAGGTAATGAACTATTCTATCGATTATTGTAGCGAGATATCTTATGAAAGCTTGCAAATCACCTTGGCATATTTGCTCTCTCTTTTTAGAGCACGTGTCATCCGTCGTAGCGCTACATTTCAACTTGTCTCCAGCTTTGGACTTGGAGCTTTTCTTGCACGAATCGTCCATCGTTTTGGACATTGATCTTGCTTTCTTGCAAGGATTGTCCACTTTCTTCACCTTTGGGCCACAGCTGGTCTCTGTCTTCTTGCAAGGATCCTCCTTTTTGCAGCTCGGCCTTTTCTTCTTCCCTTCGCAAGAGTCTTCCTTCTTGTCGCAAGTCCCTTTCGTCCTCTTGCAAGGATCCTCCATCTTCTTGCAAGGTTCCTCCTTCCTGCACTTTTCGATGTTCAGCTTGCACTTGGACGACGGCCTCGAGGATTTGTCGTCGCTTTTCGAACGAAACGGCGGATGATAAATCGGCGACGAAACGAACAGGTTCTGCCTCGTGACGATCAGGGGAGAGGCGAGGGCTTGCAGGGAAGAATAGCGTTTAACGTTTCTCGTAACTTTGCAGCGATTTCTCGAGCACGCGGATTGCGTATAGTTCCTTCTTCCGGTGCATTTCGCCGATCTTCTGCTACAGTCGCGATCGTTGCACTTCCGTTGACGTTTGCAGGAATTGTCCCGTTTCCTTGGCTTCGTGCAGATCTCGCGAGCCTGTTCTCGTTGGGAACAGTCTCGTCGTTGGG